ATGAGAGACATGGCTAAGCCATCCCGTGACCTCAACTTGTACATACCTTCGAAAAGCGGTTACAAGAGGCAAAACTATGCACGGACTGGCGGAGACGGCACCTCCGGCATCTGACGCGACAGTTGTCGATAAATGGCTCATGCGTGCAGTGGACTCCCAAAACAGCGAACTGATACCCTTAGAGCACGGCAGCTCCAAACAAGCAATGAGGCCCTGCCTACGCCACAAGCTATTCAATTCAAGTCCACACCGCACACACACTGCCGTTAAGTGCGTGCTCACGTCGAACCCGAACGAGGTGCCTGGCGGTTGGTTTTCGATTGGATGAGTACAGTGTTGCTGTTGAGTGCGTGCTCACGTCGAACCTGAACGAGTTAACCGCCGCTTTCTCTTGAAATGTGAGTTTGGTGTTGGGCAGTCTTGGAGAGATACGGAATCCGGACCTGCCGGAAAAGCTGATTTAATACGGTATTTACGATATAAACCGAGGGTCGATGTCATGGGGGGGTTACCATATATAGATAGATAGATAGATAGATAGATAGATAGATATATAACTTATGAAGTTGGTCTTCCTAGCTCCTTGGAGCTTGCAGATCCTCGGCAAGAAGTACGAGGTGTCATCTAAAGCGTACTACTCGCTGCTTGGCCACATTTCGAGGGAATCGTGCGAGTCTGAGAATCTGGTATGGGCAGATAGAACATACAAGACTGAAGCAAGTGCTGGACCCGTGGTAGTCTTGCCCAGTTTAACGGCAAGCTACAGCAAGAGGGCATCGTAGCACATGAGAGATGACAAGATGCACAGTATATGTATGTGAGGTTGAGGTTGACTTGCCTTGCATGGCTCTGCATGTAGAGAGATCTTTTTTCCTTTAGTGGGGTTGCGACTCATTTCCAGTCGCTTCGCAGCATGTTGTCTGTCGGCTGGTGTTGAAAACAGGACTGCTGCGGTGGGGGCTTTTGTCGCCATGGGGATTGCAGGCCGGATGCAATTTGGCGCCCAAGTCAGCCTGTGACATTTGACGTTAGTGCAAAGCCCCCTGGATCATCCCACTTCACTCTGTCTTGCATCCACAACAGGCAATAACCTGAACCCTATATCTTCGAAGCGGATCTCATGCTGGCGTTCCGGCCTTGCACCTGTCAGGTGTTGCTGGGATGATATTTGGCTCCTTTGTCCTGCGGAGCCTGGGCCTGCTAGTGCTATCAATTTCGAGTTAGTCCTTGCTCAATTGTCAACAAGTCGGGCCGTCCGTGCCCTTGCAAGCCCTGCATTCAATATCTACGCCCAGCAACCTTGATCGAGACTTGGGTGGTGATGGCACTCAGCACAGGCAAGTCTCCTCTCGGAGCTTGACATGCTCTACCTACAGTAGTCCGTCACTTCAGGCTTCGGAAGATGAGACCTGTGGAAGGTCAAGGAAGACAGCTGAAGACAGCAAAGCAACATCATTAAGCTCAGCAAACGGATGTGTTTATTCAACTTCCCTCAGTTGGCAAGGAAGTGGAGGGGACCGACGTCCCTTGCGCCTTACGAGGAGATCGACTCCAACAGGGTCTTGAGGATGCAGGACGGAAAGCTGAGCAGAGCAGCCTCTACACCCGAAAGGCGTCGGAAGCAGACTGCACATGTGGGGCTTCACATGCCAGCCTGGCAGGACATGCCACCATTGTTAAACACTGGTGACCTGGAAAGCAAGTGAAGGCCAGACATTGGATGCTAAACCGAGGTTGGAATTATTACACATAGCTTACGGCATGCCAGGCCAAGCTACTGGCGCCGGAGGCTGTCATGGTTTTGCGATGGCGGTGAAGGCTCGGGAGAACAAACAGGGTCGGTGGTTTTGTTGATCTTGAAGGAGATACGGAGTTAAGCACGGGGTTTGGCACAGGCTTGATCCTGCAATCTGCAATTCCGCACAACACAACTCCAGCTTGCTGCAAGCATTCAAGTTGGAATGCATTGCCCTCGTGTTTCTGAAGTTAGTTTGCTCTTCGGTCATCAATCGAACCCGTGATTCGTTGTGCTTGTGCTTAGTTTACATCCTTCACTTGCTGTCCGGGCAGGCCATGCCAACTTCATGCAGCGGCAAAAAGAGTTCGGCTGCGATCCGCATATGTTTTTGTTCAGATGCCCGTGCTGAAGGTGCTGGCTTCTTTTAGGATGGGAGTTAGCTTTAAGAGAGCCCTTAGGGACTTTGAGGACTCGACTGAAGGTCGTCCTCGAGAGCCTTAATGTATGCGAAAAGTCGAAAGCTGTTTGCAGAGGGACTAAACAAGGCTTACGGGCTTTCGTTTGGGTTTTCAAAGCGCAGGGCTCCAACATGCCCAAGGGTTCCCCATCGTCAAATTCTGCGCGTCTGCGCCCGAGCCGCAAAGAGCGGGACTGGCCATGCCACAGCGCAGCTTGCATCATGTTGAGCGATGGAGCCAGACCGACCCATTTAATCCCCTACGCTCTAGAGCAAGAACACGAAACTCCGAAACTCAAAAATTCGGGGTCATTTTGGAGTCGCTGAAGGGTAGCCTGGCGCATCGTGTAGCTCCTATACGTGCTTTACCACAAGGGTGTAAAGCTATCCAAGCTTACGTGCACTTATGAGGCTGTGTTACAGCCCTCTGCCCGTAAAGGCTTGTGGAGCCTCTGCAACGTGTCACTGCTGACTAGAACGATGCTGCAACTGGCACTCGTGAATTAGCCTGTGAAAGATTCTGAAAGGGTGAATGGGCAATGCCACTTGGCTGAATGAATTTGCAGGCAGAAAAACCGTGTGCCCTTCTAACTTTGCAGCCCAGAGCCCGGTTTAGATGCCCCTTCCTTCCGCTGAACCTCGGACCTCTGCGAGCCCAAGGCTCGAGGCGCGAGGCCAAGGCTCATCGGGAGAAGCGGTCGCAGCGCACCCGCGAGTGGAAAGAGTGCAACTGCCGGGAGACATGTCCTCCCGGATTGAACATGATTGAACATCCCGTCCAGCGTGGTGAGCATGACAAAGATGTGGCAGTTTTGGCGCCATGTTACAACCTAGTGAACACATAGGCGGGCAACATTCGACGGCTCAAAAGTGTAGGCAACAGATGTCCGACGGCTGAAGCCATGCCAAGCATCAGCTTTCGCAGTTTAAAGCGCGTGGACGAGGCTCTATCGCAGTAGATTTGCGTCAGCTTGAAGCCTTCTGTGGTCCTTTAAGCTGCTCGCGTGGATTCATGTGAGTGGAACACGGAAGCTCGGTGGCCCAGCTGCTTATTCCGGAAGCTGACGAAGACCTGCCAAAACACGATTGACCTTGAGGACCCAGCCCCCAACTGCAAGGTACAGAAGGAATAATGCGTAACAAGGCAGTTGATGACAGAAGTAATCAATTTCACTCCAGGACTCCTGGATGAGCAGCTGGACATTGATTTACAACGAGCCAGCTCCTTAGACGCAATGGAAAATGCAGTGCTGCCGAAGACATTCTCGGATGCAGCTTGTCTTGAAGATACCAATGGCCGTGGCCGTGAACGGCTGTAACAGCATCAGACAGAACAGGCTTTGGGTTGTCAAGACTTGAAACTAGATCTGTGAACACTTCCCATTGGGTCGCTCAGTCTCTCCTTCTCGGGCCTGGATGCGCCTGGGTCTCTTGCTGCGAGCCATGCATGCGGCTGCGTCGGAAGTCACCTGCCCAAGCAGCGGCCCAAGCGGCCCAAAGCTGCAAGAGATGTTCTTTGTGGCTGCCAGGGAACATGGCCAGGAACGCGATGACCTGCCAGTGTGGGCTTTGCGGCCTGAGATCACTCCAAACCAGGCTTTCCCTTTAGCAAGCGACCATAGCCATATACGTCGGCAAGATGTTCAGGGCTTGAAGGGAGGCTTTCAGATTCTGAACTTGCTGTCAGAAGCAGAGTGCGAAGCATTGGTGACAGTCCTGGAAGAGCTTGGATTCCATACGGACGCAGCTGTCTCACTCCCTTACTCCTTCCGCCACATGACGAATTGCAACTTGTGTGTGCCTGAATCCGTGGACGAGCTGCTGTACAAACGCTGCGAGCATCTGCTTCCGATGATTGCTGGCTACAAGCCTGTCGGCCTCAATGCCAAGTTTCGTTGCTACAGATATCAGCCTGGCGATTACTTCAAACCGCATACCGATGGAGCTTGGCCGGGTTCTCGTGTCACAGAGAAGGGCTTTCAGAGCGATGCCTTCGGAGACCGCTATAGCCAATTGACCTTCCTAATTCTGTTGACAGATGACTATGAGGGAGGGGCCACGCGCTTTCTGCTGGAAGATGATTCATCTGTGGCTGTGAGAACTCCGCGTGGTGGCGTCCTGGTCTTTCCTCACGGATACCACCCGGATAGCCCGCTTCACGAGGGTTCGCCCATCCACTCTGGTGTGAAGTACATCATTCGGACCGAAGTCTTGTATCCTCTCGAGGCACTCAAGAAGATGCGCCACCCCTGAGATGCAGAGGGCCGCAGGTCGCACATATCTTTTGAGAAAGCAGCTGGCAGCAGTACTTGCTTTCGAAGGGGTCGCAGTTACCCAGAAAGCTTCATGCGCTTATGGCCTCGAAAGCCTACGGCGTTACAGTAGCGTTACCACCGACAGCAGCGACTTCTGCGTGGGATTTGATTCCCTGCTTCATGTGACTAAACGGCTGACCTGATCTCATGTGCATTGTGAATGCTTGTAAGCCTACTCCATGTTGGCATTTCCTGAGGCCCATCCCGTCAAAGATGTTGCCACATGCACAGGCTCTGACCACAAAGCGGTCCTATAGGCCTGCTTTGCATCCTCGTTTGACACCTGCATGCTCGGCGCGTTCCTCGCCAATGCCAGGAGCCGACGGGCGAAGCGAAGTTCGCTTTGCTGTCACCTTTGCCGCGGGCCGGGCCGGGCTGGGCCCAGCCAAGTCTTTGCCAGGAGCAAGGCCAAGGCCAAGGCCAAGGCCGAAGTGTCGTGCAGAAGATGCGACGTAGCACTCAGAGCGTCTCAGACTTCTGAGACCTTTTGTTTTTTGAAATGAGTACCACCTTTAAGGAGCCTCAAGTCACTGAGGTGTTCAATGCTGTAGTATCACATGAACCGCACGCCGCACGCGAGCGAAAGCACCAAACAAACGTCTCCACTTCTGCTCATCCAGGCTTATAAGCTCAGAAGCCGCTGATCCCAAGAGTTCTGTCTCAACAAATCCACGCAGCACGGCTCACAGCAGAGTGCTCTTGCGGCGCTGAGCCTATGTGAGGGAGGCCTTCGGTGGTTTGCCGCAAAGAAACCTCCTTACAGTGCCTTTTCGTGATGATCTCTGGGCCAGGTCGTGATGAAGGGCTTCTCCGTTCTGCTTGCTATCCTTCCATGCATCCCACGCGTTAAGGGAGAAGGCAGGCGGCAGCCTGTACTGTGCTGGTGCTGCTGCTGGTAGGGGGCGGGGGCTGGTGGTGGTCAGTGGGGGTGGGGGTGCTGGTGCTTTGGTGCTTTGGTGCTGGTGTGCTGGTGCTTTGGTGCTAGTGCTGGTGCTGGTGCTGGTGCTGGTGCTGGTGCTGCTGCTGCTGCTGCTGCTGCTGCTGGTTCTGCTGCTGCTGGTGGTTCTGCTGCTGCTGGTTCTGCTGCTGCTGCTGGTTCTGCTGCTGCTGGTGCTGCTGGCGCTGCTGGTGGTGCTGCTGCTGCTGCTGCTGGTGGTGGTGGTGGTGGTGGTGGTGGTCGCGGTGGCGGTGCCGGTGCCGGTGCCGGTGGCGGTGGCGGTGGCGGCGGCGGCGGCGGCGGCGGCGGCGGCGGCGGCAGCGGTGGTGGTGGTGGTGGTGGTGCAGGTGGTGGTGCTGCTGGCGTTGCGTGTGCTTGTGCTGCCGGTGTCGCTGGTGCT